TGAACTTTTGGACAAGCTTTAAGCACTTCAAGTCCGGACACTTTTACCCCCTTCCTGTCCAGGCCAATTTTCAGCTTTCAGCGGTATCACACTTTGAATGACAATTGCGCGGTGATGCAAGACTGTACCCATATGAATTTTTTAGCGTTTTTTTGAGACAGATAAAGCTTTATTTTGGTGGTATTTATTCACCACTGGGACTTTTATTTTTTTTTGCTATATAAATGAAAAAGTACAAAAATGTTGACAAAAAGTGTTTTTCTTATAGAATTTTGCAAATAAATAATATTTCATCATAAATCTTAGCCAAAATGTATTCAGTAATCTTTTTAGTTAAAAAAAAAATAACCCAAATTAGTTTATAACCAAAAATTATAATATTTTTTAATTTTTTTTTAATTTTTATTTTATTTTTTGTATTATTATTTATGTTTTTTTTTACATACTGTCACCCTAGCAGTACAGTGTCACCATGATGACACTGTACTACTTGTGGGGGGTGATAAAGATTTTTTTTTTTACACTGATTGCTTTTACACCCATAAAGGCTGTAAAAGCAATCATTTCTATTCTTGCAGCCATTGAGAAATACTGTGTGAGCTGTGATTGGTCACAGCTTGTCACATGGTACAAGGCTGCTGTGAATAGCCTTGTACCATGTGACCTCTGTGATCATTCACAGATTTCACCACGTAGTAAGCAATGATGTCACAAGTGACATCTTGCTTACTACTCTGCATGTGATCGCTGATTGGCCAATCAGTGATCACATGATCAGGACCTCGCACAGAGGTCCCATATGATGAACGGTGTTTCACTGTGTCCGGAGGACACAGCAGTCACCGGCTTGCTTTTCTGCGTGCTCCCAGGGAGCGCGCACAAGCAGTGGGCGGGGAGGCGTTTATAAACAGCCACCCGCCCCTGCACTGCCACCGTCTGGCTGTTTATATACAACGGCCGGAAGGGAGGTGGCTAAAGATTCGGGACTTTGACTGCCTGTAGAGAAGAGAAGACTACAGATAGAAGTTACAGCTTAGGTAGGAGGATTTGTTTATTCTCATTGTATCACCTGAGACTAGTCACTTCACTGGGTATTAAAAGGGTTTACAACCACTTTAACCACTTGCCAATTGCGCTATAGCCGAATGACGGCTACAGCGCGGTTGTCCAGTTCATATGAGGTCTTCCCAGAATGTGCCCTCCTGCGCACCCCCAGGGGCATGCACCCAGCGATCTCTGTGATTGCTGTGTCCTACATGTGATCACGTGATGAGGTAAAAGACGAATCACAGTGGCCTGTTACCACAGTTGCCTGTTATCGGCTGCACTTTCCTCAGTGTCCTGATGATCAGTGCCCAGCAGTGTCGCCCAGCAGTGCCACCCATCAGTGCCCAGCAATGCCTCCCAGCAGTGCCCATCAGTGCTGTCAGACAGTGTTGTCAGTCAGTGCTGCCAGTCAGCACCACCTATCAGTGTCGCCTAGCAGTGACACCTATCAGTGCCACCCATCAGTGCCTAGCAGTGCCCATCAATGCCGTCAGTCATTGCTGTTAATCAGTGCCACCAGCCATCACCACCTATCAGTGTCGCCCAGCAGTGCCACCCATCAGTGCCCAGCAGTGCCGTCAGTCAGTGCCACCTATCAGTGTCACCCAGCAGTGATGCATTTCAGTGCCCATCATTGCTGCATATCAGTGCATCATCATCAGTGCCACCTCATCAATGCCCATCAGTACCACCTCATCAGTGCAGCCTATCAATGCCCATCAGTGCTGCCTATCCGTGCCACCTCATCAGTGCCCATCGGTGCTGCCTATCAGTGCCCATCAATGCTGCGTATCAGTGCAGCCTCATCAATGCATATCAGTGAAGGAGAAAAATTACCTGTTTGCAAAAGTTTATAATAGAAACAAAGAAAAACTTTTTTTCTTTCAAATTTTTTGCTCTTTTTATTTATAGTGCAAAAAATAAAACAGCCAGTGGTGATTAAATACCACCAAAATAAATTTTGTATGAAAAAAATTATAAACATTTCACATGGGTACAGTGTTGCATGACCGTGCAATTGTCATTCAAAGCGTGACAGCGCTGAAAGCTGAAAATTGGCCTGGCCACGAAGGGGGTAAAAGTGCCCAGTAGGCAAGTGGGTAAAGTGGACATAAAGCCTGAGTGTTTTTACCTTAATGCATTCCCTGCAATAAGATAAAAAAAACCACTAACTATCCCCCCCCCCCAATCTTAACACTTAAGCCTGTCAACAATCCAGTGCTGTCCTAGCTTTAGGTCATCTCTCTTCCACTCTTCACAGGCACTTGGGCATTAGAGGGAGCCAGCAATATAGACAGCTCTGATTGTCTCTGTGCTGATCACATGCACCCCCCCCCCCCCCAAAAAAAAAACTCTGTAGCAAAACAAACCAAACAGAGCATGTGCAGACTTGCCCCTGCTGCTCTGTACTATGGCAGATGGATTGGGGACAGTAGAAGAAGGGGAGGATCAAAGAAAACAGGATCAAACAGCCTTTTTACACAATACAGATGATTAACCCCTTAGGCTCCACAGTGAGTATAACAATTTTGTTTTCCTGCATATACAGTAGTAGCACATCGCTGGATTGAAATCGGGCTCAATCAGAAGATGGGACCAGAAAACCGCTTGTTTACAATTAAATATTAACGGTCTGCACTCAGTGGCACCTTCGTGCATTCCTTTTTTACATGTGACATTGGAGATCTGCTTCTGCTCTACTGTGGAGGCTGCCCTGAGGTACTAACCATTTCATGGTCCTCCGTGGTCATTCTACTGGATCCACCAAGTGGCCCTTGTCCCCCTCTCCTTCTCCCCGTCCCCTCCATTTTGCCCCTTTTTACCTTTCAAGGTGATTTCTTTTATTACTTTTTTACATGTGACATTGGAGATCTGCTTCTGCTCTACTGTAGAGGCTGCCCTGAGGTACTAACCATTTTGTGGTCCTCCGTGGTCATTCTACTGGATCCACCAAGTGGCCCTTGTCCCCCTCTCCTTCCCCTCCCCTCCATCGTGCCCCTTCTTACCTTTCATGGTGACTTCTTTCATTCCTTTTTTACTGCTAATCTTATTCACTTGTACATGTACTTGTACTCTTGTCCCAATGAGCTACTCATGATTTATGCTTTTATGGTCAATCCCCATGCTCGAATTATGATTATATCAGTTACAGGCAGTACTAGCAGTATTGAAGCAGTTGCTCATAAGGGGGCCACTTGAGTTTTACACAAATAGAAAGATTCTCAATTGCATAAACTACTCTAGACTAAAAGTCTATTAAGAGCAATAATTCTGGAGAAAAATGCAAAGTGGCAAATATTAAATATATTTTCAATGTCAAGCTATGTCTTTAAAATTAATGTTTATTCTTTTAGCATTTTGCCTTCCCTGGTTCCTGCCCCCCCTCCCCATCAGCATGCTAATAAAATGTTTACATAAAATATTTCCATTTTTATTATATGCTTTATTTTAGACAGTAATGCCATCACTGGGTCTCTGTGTCTCAGTGCTGTGCTGTGCATAGTTTGCTTATAAAAATCACAGCGCCCTCTCCCAGCAATTCTCTTCCCTAATGCAAACTGAAAGGAGTTATGCAAATATCAAAATACCTTGATGGCAAGCTGAATTTGCATGTGGAATGCCCTATGTCAGTGGTTTCCAAACTGCAGCCCTTTGCTAGCCTTTATCTGGCCCTCAGGGCACTGTTCCTCCCACTGACATCAACAAAGGGGCATAGTTCCTGCCACTGACACCAACAATAGGGCACTATTCCTCTCACTGACACCATCAGTGGAGTACTTTTCCTCCCATTGACACCAATGACAGGACACTATTCCTCCCAATAACACCAGTGATGGACGATATTCCTCCCACTAACACCAATGATGGGGCACTATTCCTTATACTGACACCAATGATGGAGCACTGTTCCTCCCACTGAGACCAGTGATGGGGCGCTATTCCTCCCACTGATATCAATGATGGGGAACTATTCCTTATACTGACACCAATGATGGGACACTATTCCTTATACTGACACCAATGATGGGGCACAGTTCCTCCCAGTGAGACCAGTGATGGGGCGCTATTCCTCCCACTTATACCAATGATGGGGCACTATTCCTCCCACTGACACCAATGATGGGGCACTATTCCTGCCACTGATACCAATGATGGGGCACTATTCCTCCCACTGACACCAATGATGGGGTGCTATTCCTCCCACTAACACCAATGATGGGGCACTATTCCTTATACTGACACCAATGATGCGGCACTGTTCCACCCACTGAGACCAGTGATGGGGTGCTATTCCTCCCACTAACACCAATGATGGGGTGCTATTTTCTTACACTGACACTAATGAGGGGGCACTGTTCCTCCCACTGACACCAATGATGGGGCACTATTCCTTCCATTGACACCAACGATGGGGCACCATTTCTCTCCCTAATACTAAAGATGGGGCATTATTTACCCCAGGAAATTTTTTTGTTTCACTGGCCACACTTCAGCCCCCCTAAAGTCTGAAGGACAGTAAACCGGCCTTTTGCTTAGAAAGTTTGGAGACCCCTGCCCTAGGTAATAGCCACATGTGAAGCTAAGTCTCCATGACTGGAAGACCTGAAACCCAGTCAATGTAAAGGTTGGGGCAGGGACAGCAAGGCTGTGGAAGAACCGATTAGATGATCGTGGACAATCTCTAGCCAGGAAATGAGGCAATCTGACTGACTGCAGCTCACAGTGTGCAGTGAAATCAAGGTAAGCAATTTTAGTACATAAGAAAAGACTAAACACTGCAAGACTAGACTGGAGTTCAGGTTTAAATCATTAGACCAGGGGCGGACTGACAACTCATGGGGCCCACAGGCAATAGGGGATCATGGGGCCCCTGTGTCCTTGCCCACACTCAAACCACACCCAAAAAAGCCTATGAAAGGTACCAGGGGCATCTCATGGGGCCCCCTACTGACCCCGGGCCCTCGGGCAGTGCCCAAGTTTCCGAATGGTCAATCCACCCCTGCATTAGACATACAGTAAATGCTTATACTGTAAGGCAAAAAACCAAGTACAGGAACCAAAAGTAACCAATTAGCATTGATCAGATTGCAACAATCCAAAAGCTGATTGTCTATCTTGGATTACTACACATTGCACCCACTGTTGAATATGACCAATTATGTATACTGCCTACATGCTATTGCGTATAATAATCATAGTAATGATAATGACCAACAAACGCTTTCATGTTTCTGACAGATGAGAACACAGCAAGCAGTTTATTGTAGTTTGCTTTGTTTCTGCAAGCTCTTTTTGCTCTTAGGTCACAAAAAAAAATACAGCATAAAAACAGCTAATTGCTTTTATACAAGAGCAGAACATTACCATTACTTTTCATTATCCTTGTTACTTAACTTTAGGTAGTGTATTATTCCTAATAACACACTAGAAAAATGTATGCAGGAAAATAATGCTAAAACCAGAAATTTATTTTTTTGTTCCTATCAACCCATGAGCAACAACTCAGAGCCAGGGATCAGAAACATTATCTAGTTAGCGATTGCTGCATGCATTTGACATATCATCCTAACCAAATATTGTTTTCTCAATGGCATACTCCCCAACATTTTAGAAATCTACACTGGGACAAATCTACATTTTGCAGTGTGGTACTGTGAAATAAGAAGCTTGCATTAAATTATTGTTCCAAGCGCCAATATGTATGATGTTGAGGGTGGATATATCTGCAGGATAAAAATCAGGCATTGCACCCAAAACCACATAAAAAGACATTTTATTTCAAAATGTAATAAGTCATATTGTTGTGTTGCTGCTTTCGTATAAATAGATGGAAAAATCTATCAGACATACAAAATATGTAATGACAGAATACGGTGACACTGATGATGACTGTGAGAATCATACTGTTCTGTAACACTACATACAGCTTCAAGGCATCTCCCAAGCATGTAATTTAATGTAGTCTGCTTTTTGCATGTCACCCTCAAAATCTTACATCAGAGTTTTAAGGTTTGGTAAAAGCCTTTTCTCTTTTTTTTTGCAGCAGTACATGTTCCCCACACCAGTTACTAGCGTCTCTAGCACTTTGTTTAACTTTTTTACCTATTAGCCTAGAAAATGGCCAGAACTGATTTTCAGTGGGGTTTGGATTTAAGTTCACAATTTTCGGACTTTACAAAGGGTTTGACTATTGCCCTGTGAACCGAACCCAGAGACATTTGCTCACACCTTATAGCTACAGTCAGTTTGTTAGTTTCTCCATAGACCTGTTATTGGAATACAGCTTTACTATATTGTATGTATTTGTTTTGCTAAATTGACCTAAATCCAAGCTGTCTGATATTGTCCAATTTTACTTTGCTTCATTATTTAATTCCCCATTGAAATTATTTAATGGTTTTCCAGGTTTTAGTTATAATATAGCTCATGCAAAACTGTTAGTTTTCAGGTACATCAATGCAGCACCTTCTTCAGTGAGAGAGCATTCTATATAGCCTAATGTGTCACGAGGCAGGAAAAGTGCAAAGTCTGTTGACCAAACAGGCAAGGAACCCAAGAAGAGAACTCTTTCCTACTAAGAAAATGTAAGCTTGCCAAGGATGTTTTTAAACTTAAATAGGGTAAAAATATTCTCGTTCTCTGTTTCCCATCTAAAAATCCTCCAACCACTAGTTAAAATCTTTCACATCAAAGACATTTTTTTTGCATTTTAGTAAGGAATCGAGCAACGGAAGATCACTGTAGTAACTGACTCCTTCAGTTTAATAGACAACACCCTAGAGATTAAAACCATAAAATCTCCTTCAAGCAACCATTCAGCACAGGAATTGATCCATAAATTGTGCTTTCCTTATTTTAGCACAAACATATACGGTAATTTAGGTACAAATGTTATACTTTTGACAGGTAAGGTTTTAAGAGGTACTATACCAGGAAAAACCTAAAATTTTAGATCTAAAATACCTCAAAAAACATTTTTTAAGCTAGAAAAAAAGAAAAGCTATAACCTTGGTGCAAAAATTTGCAATTTTTTGCATCTAGAAGACATACAAATAAAGTCTGGATGGCAATAAGCAGTAGTCATAGAGCCTACAACAAAACAAATAAAGAAGCATTGAATACACTGTATATCCTAAAACTTAAACCATTTATCCTCTCTAAATCCAAAGAGTCTCCTAGAGAGAAACCTTTCAGTTCCCAGGTCACGTTCACAAGGCAACTGGTATTGTACACTTGTACCTTGCAATGGAAAATGAAAAGGCCTGCCAGATTTTCAGAGCAACAATATACAATATGACTCGAGCACAGTTATGGATGATTTATCGGTGCCAACCTATAGCATATGGCAGAAGGGTTTCAGGATTTACTTAATATTGTACAGGCAATTTATTCACAACTCAAGGGCAGAAATTGCCACATTTGTTCCCACTGACGGAAGTCCTCAATATATGACACTCTCAGATTGCTTGATGGCTAGAGTGAAGAAACTCTGCAAGAGACTACCAAAAGTCAGGTGTAATTCCTTGGTGTTGAAAATTAATTTCATTCCCTTTAATCCAATTTATATACAGGTAAGGTTAATTTACCTAAAATTGTAATTTCTCTTAGTGGACGGTCAGGAGGTTAATCACCTATTTATGTATCTTAGAGACTCTGGTGCCAAGAACTCAGTGTTATCAAACTTGCAAACTTCTCAAACAAATTATACTTACCCTGTTAGAATTTTATTCTATATTATGAACAAAGCAACAGCCTCAGTCAGTACATCCAAAACCAAAAATGTAGGTGGGAGCATAGCCAGAAACTATAGTGGAGAACTCCAAACATCTTGAATCTCCAAGGAAAATAAAACATCAGTGGGTGACTCAGCCCACAGATTTCATGTATACTACATAAACTCCAGCATACCAGCTATCCAGCTTTTCCATTAGTTTCAATGTTAACATTTGTATTAATTTTAATAGTGCCCTAAATGATTTCTTAAATAAATCATTAAAACGAGGGAGCATTTAAACTAAATCCATCTTGTGCAAAAGTAAAAAACGTATCCTGATTGTATCACCCTCTTCACCTCTAAAAGCTTCTCTAAATAGAATGAAAATAATATTGTCCTGCAAAATGATACACCATTTTCATATGTGAGTACAGTCAGTATATCATTCAAGCAATAATCTGAACATTTCCACGTTTTCCTTTCTAATCATACAAGAATAATTCACACTTCACATTTATAGGTGTTATTATTCCTGCAAGCATGATCTGTTATGAATGCGCTAATAGGCACGTGTACGTAAAAACTGCTATCAACTTGAATAGAGAGGCACACTTTTGCAATTTTACAAAGTATTTGAAAATATTTTCTGCAAACGTTTTCAGCTTGTTATCATGCTACTCTTGAACATATGCCCCCTGCCCAATAGCAAATAGCTCTACTGGTTTTTGCTCTCAATAACCTCTTAGCAAGGCCTGACACATTCCTTTTAAAGTATCAAAACAATTTTGGAAGATATTTTAAGAGTTTTTAATATTTAGTGTAATGTACAGCCATTTGTTACTCCAGCCAAAATGTTTAGTTATGTGTAAAACTGTTGGCTAAAGATTGACTGCATCCTATCAATCACAGGTGCTGCGCAGCTGCTTGAATACAATAATTGACGGTGCAGATTCCTCAATCCATACTGTTTAATAATCTATTGATTTTTTCTCATTCAGATGGGGGCTGAGCGAGAAAAATCTAGCCGTGTATGGCTAGCTTTAGAGTCTTGGTCAGGTTTTTATTTCTGGCTGCATCACTACTGAGCAGGTTGTCGTTTTTTTACATAAGGAGAGAAAGTGAATAAAAATCTATTTAATGGGAGCACATACAAACAGAGATTTGTGGTAGAAGAAGGGTTTTTATTTTTGCCAAGTCTTACTGCTCCAGTGACAGCTACTGCACTGTGCATACCCGAAGTCTACTTATATGAGCGCCACGGGGACAGGAAGTGAGGTAAGATCTTAAAAGACAGAATTAAAAACAGAAATGTTAATTCTCCCCTACCCTATCCAATTAAAAGAAAAAGCTTTAAATTTGAATGTTGCTTTTGAGCTAACAAAAAGTTGGTGGTGGCATGCCTTGGAAACATGAATTTTCATAGGCTATTATCCTTGATTCAGGTAGGCTCTGGTGTCAGGCTTTGCCTCTCCACTATTGACTACTATGAGCCGTGATGCTCACAGGCTAACACCAGTGGATAGTTCTGCTGTACACTAACTATTAGTCTTAGTATAGTGTATATATGTAGTTTCCTTCCTGTCTTAGCAAATGTCTGTGTCAGAAGAAGATACTGTCAGTATATACCAGTATGTCAGAACATTGAGACCATCACCCATCATAATGTGACAATGCTTGAATATGTCAGAGCATTTCATGTTGTCGCAATGTCCTTGGTGGGGATACAGTCCCCATGCAGCTACCATGTCCTTAGCAGAGTGTACTATATGGTTGCTAGGTATATGATTGCCAGGTCCCTGGTAGAGGGACCCTGTAGAGCACCTTATGAGAAGTCCATGTGCCTGGAAGAGTGTCTCTCATGCTTAGCAAGATCTATGACATATTGTGAGACAGCTAGCAGCTATAGGTGGCAGAGTTATGTGAAAGAAATGTGAATTTGCATGGCTGGGACAAGGGGTGGGCAGGAGGGACAACTGCCCTGGGTGCAGTGAAGCAAGAGGGCAAAAAATGTACGCAGCGTGATACACTCATTCTAGCATGTATTAATGGTTTGGGAGGAGAGTGCAGTTCTGGCTCCTTGCCCTGGAAGCTGGACAACCTTGTCCCTGTATTGATCCTAGGAGTCTCTACCAGTAAACCTTGTGCTGCATGATACTTGCTGGATACTGACACCAGTGCTCTAAACATACTGTAACGAAACTAAGCTGGACCATACCATTGTTTCTTGACCTCAATGCTGGATATCTACACTGATATGGACTGGAGCAACCTGGCGGTGTCGGATGGACCAAAACATGATATCCCAGAGGTGATTTAATGGATTTAGGTCAGGCGAGCATGGGGGCCATTCAATGGTATCAATTCCTTCATCCTTCAGGAACTGCCTGCATACTTTCACCACATGGGATCGGGCA